GTCATTTAATAATATTTTTAAAGTGTTAATGTATATGATGCTTAAAGAGCACATAATTCCCGTTCAATAACGTTTACCTCAAATGCCAGTGCAGGGCCTGGCCAGTACGGCTAATATTATATATCTATATCTATATATCAAATATATCTTTGGGTTTGTGGTTGGTTTTGCGTTTGAATTTGGTTTGTTTTCGTTTGTTTTTTCGTTTGTTTTTTTCTTTGTGTTCGTATTGGTGTTATTGGTTGTGGTTGGGTTTGTTGTTAGGTTTTTGTTTGTATTTGTAATTGTGTTAGCTTTATGTTTGCGTTTTGTTGTTTTGGTTTTTGTTGGTTGTGGGTTGGGTGGGCAGTGCCGGGTTTATGATGATTCTCAACACACAGGTAATGGTCTTTAACAGAAAGGTTTTTCACAGTAGCCAGAGCAGGGCCTGGCCGGCTAGTATATATATATATATATATATATATATATATATATATATATATATATATATATATATATATATATATATATATATATATATATATATAATACCTATATGTAAGCCCTGCTGGAGGGGGGGGGGTATAGTATATCCCTAGGCTTATCTAATTACTGTCCGGTCAGTGCAACTGAGGTAAAACCCACGGTGGTTGAATCTTTACCTTAGACTGGATAAGAAACACACAAAAAATAAATCGGTAGTGATCTCCCCAAAACTTTCTCGAATATTCTTATATAAAATAACAGGGGATGGGAACTCGGGCTATAGACATGATTTTTAATCCATTTTAAATACTTAAAGTTTTAAAAATAGAATAACATCTCGTAGACAAAAGGATTGCACACCAAGTGAACGCCAAATAAAAAAAGTGCATAATAGTGCGCAATATTATTAGTACGATAAAAATTTACTTTAGTTTTTTGAGAAATCGGAAATAGCGCAAATTAGTACTTCCGGTCAACGAAAATTACTCAAAATTGGATAGAAGGTAGAGAATTAGATCTTTTACTTACATGTGAAATTTCATTTATCTATCTGAAATAGTACTCAAGTCATAGGCTTTTGAAAAAGTCAAAGTATAAAAAGTACCACTTCCGGTTATCGGAAATCGCTCAAAAGTTGATACGGATCTACGATTTTGATAAAATACTTATATATGAAATTTCATCAACCTAGCTGTAACGGTACTCAAGTTATCGTCTTTACACACACACACAGACATACGGACAAGATTGCAAAATTATGTTTTTCCGTATCAGTGAGGTGTAAAACGTCGAGATTTGTAAAAATATCGATTTTTTTTTTTTTTTGCACGATTACAAGACTTTATTCTTCGTATTATACGAGAAAGTAAAAATTGACAATAACATTTATTTTACAAAAAATGGAACCAATATTTAAATAAAGATAGACCTAGATCTAAATAAACTGGAACAAAAACAAAACCAGACAAAACACCCAAAATCGACTTCCGATGTTTCGGATCGCCCAGGTTCTGAACACACAAGCAAGAGCCTCCCGCATCCCCTTGACATACAAAAATGACTCGAAACATCTGCCGGGAACTGACTTCCACACACCTCGCACACTACACGTAAACAAATAATCTCTAATCCACTGATAACAAACAACACGCCACGAAACATAAGCCAGAATTATACAAAAAGACACTTAATATAAATATTGACAACAATCTAAACAAAATATATACAAACTAGCCGTAGACAGCGACGTAAACAGTTATACAGCGGCGCCATAACACAGGACTACGTAACTAAAAAGCACGAACAGTTTACGACATGAAACGAAACGATACATTCGCCTTTTTAAGTTACATATATAATAATAATACCACTCCAGCCGCTGACATATATATTAAGGTCACAGCCCAAGGTGCGGCTAATGCATGAATGGGCTGGCCAGAGCCCAGCTTGCTTGTGAGTAATGTATTGCTCGGCTTGTGTTTAAAAAAGGTCAGTGACCCCCCTTTACGAACACACACACACACACACACACACACACATATATATATATATATTCAGTACGAGCTAACTTCTGTCAGTTAGCTCGTACTGAAAATGCATGTGTGTGTGTGTGTGTGTGTGTGTTCGTAAAGATCTGACAGATAATGATACAAAATAAGTCTGCCAAAGAAGAAAATAAAACACCGTTGTTAGAATCCAAACTATCGCCAAATATGGGCTACTACAGTATGCGATAAAGGGACAGCGTGGTTAAACGGTAAATGTTCAGCTGCTAGCCCGAAAGTCTCGAGTTGGACCCCCGGGTTAGAGTCCTTAGCACATGTTTGGTTTCATCCAGGTGAGCTCTACCGCATCTGCCCCTTAGAAAGTCAGGTTTCACTTGACTGGGTGTGGTATACCCCTCAATAGTGACGGGCTGAGAAAAGTGTACTAGACTGGGTGTGGTATACCCCTCAATAGTGACGGGCTGAGAAAATTATCCAGGAACAAAATCCATCTATGTGCAACAAGATGGGAAGACCAGCAAACAAGGCAGCGTTGGATGCTGCCCTTATATGGTCAGCAGCAGGGTCCAACTTTTAAATACGAAAAATGAGTCTCGTCATTTATTAAAAACACTAGCTGGAGAAATTATTTATTTTACGATAATACAATAGATTTCTTTTTAAGTGTAAACAAGCCCACCAATCAGGTGAACATCCTTCCGATTTACGTTGACAAAAGTCCCCCCCCCCCCCCACCGGTCCATGAATCGTAAGGTTTTTGGTTTTACTCTTGCACTATCACGCATCGTGAGTTAATACAACATTGGTTTCTTTTTTAAGTGTTAAGCGACGTATCTACTCCACTAAAAACTCTACTCAACAATCCGATTTTCATTAGCGAAAAAGCTCCCCCAGTCTACCCCCCCCCCCCATCATACACAAATGTTTTTTGTTTTTGTTTTATAGAAACTGACTCCCAAGGCATAGGGCTTTTATTTAACAATAACACAATCAAAGTAGAAACCAGTTAAATCGGTATGTTAATCAGCCGATTATTTTCTTAAATTATACTGTGAATTAATACAATATTGCAGAATTAGTCTTTACATTTTTCCAACCCTTTGGCGCCCCACAGCCTTTTAGCTACGCCTCTGTCTATCGCCCGCACTAACAAAATCTGATCGCAAATCTTATGAGCGGATATGTGTCTAACCGAAACTCAGATCGAACCTAGTTTAAGAACTACTAATCTAGAACTAGATCTAGATAATTTAGATCTAGATCTAAATATCTAGGTCTAGCCAGGGGTCGGCAACCTTTTGAGACGGAAGAGCCAAAAGTTACAATTTACAAAATTTCCCAGTTTTAAAGAGCCACTAACATTTTTATTTCAATATTATGATATTTGATTAGGATTTTACATATGTAGATTCTATACATACATATATATATATATATATATATATATATATATATATATATATATATATATATATATATATATATATATATATATATATATATTCCATGCGTCACATAATAGTGCCCCGACTTATGGCATTTCTTTTAGAGCTGTCCACTTGTGCAGCGAAACGTGCATGTTTTACTGGACCTCAAACTCTCCTAACTTGCTTTTAAGATCTGTGAACCTACCACTCCAAATGATGTTTGGTTTTCAAATCCAGCAATTGCATTTGAAGCGAGGCAGCATCAATTCCAAATAGCTCAAAGTTAATTAACCTCATTTGTTTTTGTGATGAGAGATTCTACTATGAACGTCAGAGTACTTGCATTTGTTTTGAATTGCTCAAATCTTTAAGTGAATCCAACCTTCATTGTGTTAATTGTAATGCTGAAGTAATTCACGTTAATAGTAGCATTGGTTACATCATGATATTTTTTTGAGATTTTTCAAAATTAAATAATTTATCGCTCTCCGTGTCTTCAAACAAAAAAAAAAGTTTTTATTTTATTTTAACAATCCACTTCTTCAAGCGAGGCATATGCTTGGTTTTCCTTTCCTTGCAGTTTTACATTTAGCACGATTAGTTTCTTTGTGATAACCACCATGAAGTTAAATGTTTCAATTTGGGATGAACAAGTACATTGAAAATAGGGAGTAACTAAACATTCTAATATAATAGCGAGTGTTTATTGTTTATATTTATCACGAGCCGCGGCCCGCGGCATAACATGCGCCGCTATTTAGTTGTTGTTTTTTCTACTTTTCAGTAATTCATAATTTGTGAATTCGACAGTACCAACGCTGACACTGAAAATATTTCTTTAAAACATTATAAGTAGCTCGTTATAGACCATAACCCCCCCCCCCCTGACGTTTAAAATCGTTTCAAACTAAATTATCTGCCCCTAATGGTCGTCACTAAACCCGGCTCTGCTTGTAAACATTTAGAGTGAACCACAGCTCACTAAGACCATGTAGAGGTGGGGTTGGTAGGGAGCGCGTTTACAGCTTGTTTTCTAGCGTCTCCCAGAGGAGAATTATATATATATAGATTATACATTCAACACCGAGTGTTGCAAAAAAAAATTATGACTTTTATTAGTTTTAAAAATAAAATATGAAAAATTATTAATATTTGTGCATGGAGCTGAAGAGCCGCATCTTGACATCAAAAGAGCCGCAGGTTGCCGACCCCTGGTCTAGGCCAATTGGCGTAGCTAGGATTTTTGGGCCCCTATGCAAAAAGTGTTAGTGGGCCCCTCAGAGGCGTAGCGACCCTTCCCGGCGACCGGGGACAAACTTTCGATTTGCACCCCCCCCCCCTCAGACTTTCGATTTGCACCCCCCCCTCAAACTTTCGATTTGCACCCCCTCACCCTCAGACTTTAAATTTGCACCCCCCCCCCCTCAAACTTTCGAAAAAGGGCCCCCTATTTGCCTTGGGCCCCTATGCCTTGCTTACGCTAGCTTTACGGTAGCTACGCCACTGGTCTAGATATAGAGTCTAGTTGATACTTGAGTTAGTGCGAGATCTACACTGGTCTAAATCCCGTGTTTGGCTTCATAATTTCAAATTTATCTGGTAGAAACTTAATCCAAATGACTTTAGGGCCTAGCTGAAAATTTTAATATTTTAACTAGACTCTAGGTTGCTTCACACAGAAGATATAAACTTATTTTAATTAACCGAACGATCGGCAGCAATACAGATCAAAGAAAATTTAATATTTAGATTAGATTCTAAATTCTAAAATGTTTAAGCCTGTCTTACGAATTTTTAATAATAGTTCGTTAAGAAGATGCTCATTAAACTACATAAACGGGATTGTCAGTAACGTCAACAGACAGGTAATTTTTAATTTACCGAATAACTCGACTCACGTGTTATTAAATTTTGAGCCCGAGCTCACCCTATCTCATTATTATCAAGATCACTAGCTAGATCTAGATGTAGACTCTAGATCTAGTAGTTCGTTAGTACTTGACAGTCATCTTCATCTAGAATGTAGTCTAGAGTCTAGGTCTGTAGTTTATCTCTCATGATTATCCAGTATCTAGACTATTCTAGACTCTAGTAGATCTAGATTATCATCCTAATTCTAATCAAAATGGATATGAATGAAATGAGTGATAAGTGGTGTAGATAGAAAAAAAAATGGAAATACCAAGAAGGGTAGAAACATAAGCCTACCCAGTTTCTTAAGAATATGCCTACCCTGCTGATATTGATAAGGCTATCTAATTATTATTCTCATAATTATATAGGCTATACTATAGGCCTAGACCTGTGGATGATTTTAGATACCGATGTCTGATAATGGAGTCTAACATAAAATAGGTGTGTTGGGTTGTTAGTAGTATTGTAATCTCGACTAATTTTAGGGTTAGGCGTATGGTAGGACCAGGGTTGGGGGTTAGCATTGACATTAGCCAGCCATGTGTATATTTAGTTAACTACCAGTAACCTAACACCCCTTTTTAAAAGAAGATTCCATTATCGGACATGGGTATAAAAATTCTCCCAACATTTCTGCTTCAGGACATGAGGATTATATTTTACATATGAATGAATGGTAGGGCTTACGCCTGCTAACCCAAATCTGTAGTACCGCTCAACTGTGATGAGTACCTGAATAACATTAGGCTAACTAAGCAGTGGGGCTTAGGGCTAACCACACTGTCATTGGGGGGGGGGGGGGGTGTCATTCTATTATTGTTGATCATCAAAAATATAAACAATGTTTATACTATACTGTTCAACTGTCATGAAAGTTTCATTGTTAGTAAATACCACACTTTTGTGTTATTTAGATAGTGGGAATTCTCACTGGAATACAATTATCTATCCTATTATACATTTATCTATCCTATTATATTATACACTCTCTACCATCTGAGTTTTGTTTTTGAATTGTAAATTATTTGTATGATTCCACTAGTACTCTACACTACAAACATGTTTGTATGATTCCTCTAGTTCTCTACACTTACAAACATGTTTGTATGATTCCTCCTAGTACTCTACACCAGGGGTCTCAAAACTTTTCAGTCCGAGGGCCGCATTAACTATCAAATTTCAGTTCGTGGGCCAGTTAATTCCAAACATGTCTTTGATTTTTCTCAGCCATCACCAACAAACGTTTTTTCCGTGGACAAAAAGATCGCCGCGGGCCGGATGAGAGGACCTCGAGGGCCGGATCCGGCCCGCGGGCCGTAGTTTGGAGACCCCTGCTCTACACTTACAAATATGTTTGTATGATTCCTCTCGTACTCTATACTTACAAACATGTTTGTATGATTCCTCTAGTTCTCTATACTTACAAACATGTTTGTGTGATTCCTCTAGTTCTCTACACTTACAAACATGTTTGTATGATTCCTCCTAGTACTCTATACTTACAAACATGTTTGTATGATTCCTCTAGTCCTCTATACTTACAAACATGTTTGTATGATTCCTCTCATACTCTACTTACATTAAACATGTTTGAATGATTCCTCTAGTCCTACTCAACTGGCACTGAGGGTGATAAAGCAAACTTCCCGGGGTCAAGGTCGGAGTATGTCACCCATCTGGACTTGCTGGACCCTGATCATGCACCTGGTATACCTGTCTACCGCACTCTCAACTCACAAGGACAGTTTATTGATGAGAAGCAGGATCCAAAGGTCAACTGTCCTGTCTTCTTGTCTTGTAATACATTTCTTGTCTTTAATCAATGAATTTTATACGTCTTGTCTTGAAGTAAATGTCTTGTCTTGAAGTAAATGTCTTGTCTTGAAGTAAATGTCTTGAAGTAAATGTCTTGAAGTAAATGTCTTGAAGTAAATGTCTTGAAGTACATGTCTTGAAGTAAATGTCTTGAAGTAAATGTCTTGTCTTGATGTAAATGTCTTGAAGTAAATGTCTTGAAGTAAATGTCTTGAAGTACATGTCTTGAAGTACATGTCTTGAAGTAAATGCCTTGTCTTGAAGTAAATGTCTTGAAGTAAATGTCTTGTCTTGAAGTAAATGTTTTGTCTTGAAGTAAATGTCTTGAAGTAAATGTCTTGCCTTGAAGTAAATGTCTTGAAGTAAATGTCTTGAAGTAAATGTCTTGAAGTAAATGTCTTGAAGTAAATGTCTTGTCTTGAAGTAAATGTCTTGTCTTGAAGTAAATGTCTTGAAGTAAATGTTTTGAAGTAAATGTCTTGAAGTAAATGTCTTGAAGTACATGTCTTGAAGTAAATGCCTTGTCTTGAAGTAAATGTCTTGAAGTAAATGTCTTGTCTTGAAGTAAATGTCTTGAAGTAAATGTCTTGAAGTAAATGTCTTGTCTTGAAGTAAATGTCTTGAAGTAAATGTCTTGAAATGCCTTGTGTGCATGCAGTTGGATGAAGCTACAGTCCTCAAGATGTACAAGGACATGACACTACTCAACACCATGGACAGGGTCTTGTATGACTCACAACGTCAAGGCAGAATTTCTTTTTACATGACCAACTATGGCGAGGAGGGGACACACATTGGCTCGGCTGCTGCACTTGATTCTAAGGATCTCATTTTTGGACAATATAGGGAGGCAGGTCAGTTGGCTGGGGCAGGTCAGTTGGGTGGGGCAGGTCAGTTGGGTGGGGCAGGTCAGTTGGGTGGGGCAGGTCAGTTGGGTGGGGCAGGTCAGTTGGGTGGGGCAGAGAGGCAGGTCAGTTGGGTGGGGCAGGTCAGTTGGGTGGGGCAGGTCAGTTGGGTGGGGCAGGTCAGTTGGGTGGGGCAGGTCAGTTGGGTGGGGCAGAGGGGCAGGTCAGTTGGGTGGGGCAGGTCAGTTGGGTGGGGCAGGTCAGTTGGGTGGGGCAGAGAGGCAGGTCAGTTGGGTTGGGCAGAGAGGCAGGTCAGTTGGGTGGGGCAGGTCAGTTGGGTGGGGCAGAGAAGCAGGTCAGTTGGGTGGGGCAGAGAGGCAGGTCAGTTGGGTGGGGCAGGTCAGTTGGGTGGGGCAGGTCGGTTGGGTGGGGCAGGTCAGTTGGGTGGGGCAGAGAGGCAGGTCAGTTGGGTGGGGCAGGTCAGTTGGGTGGGGCAGGTCAGTTGGGTGGGGCAGGTCAGTTGGGTGGGGCAGAGAGGCAGGTCAGTTGGGTTGGGCAGGTCAGTTGGGTGGGGCAGGTCAGTTGGGTGGGGCAGATCAGTTGGGTGGGGCTGATCAGTTGGGTGGGGCAGATCAGTTGGGTGGGGCAGGTCAGTTGGGTGGGGCAGAAAGACCAGGTCAGTTGGGTGGGGCAGAGAGGCAGGTCAGTTGGGTGGGGCAGATCAGTTGGGTGGGGCAGGTCAGTTGGGTGGGGCAGGTCAGTTGGGTGGGGCAGAAAGACCAGGTCAGTTGGGTGGGGCAGGTCAGTTGGGTGGGGCAGAGAGGCAGGTCAGTTGGGTTGGGACAGGTCAGTTGGGTGGGGCAGGTCAGTTGGGTGGGGCAGGTCAGTTGGGTGGGGCAGGTCAGTTGGGTGGGGCAGGTCAGTTGGGTGGGGCAGAGAGGCAGGTCAGTTGGGTGGGGCAGGTCAGTTGGGTGGGGGCAGGTCAGTTGGGTGGGGCAGGTCAGTTGGGTGGGGCAGGTCAGTTGGGTGGGGCAGAGAGGCAGGTCAGTTGGGTGGGGCAGAGAGGCAGGTCAGTTGGGTGGGGCAGGTCAGTTGGGTGGGGCAGGTCAGTTGGGTGGGACAGAGAGGCAGGTCAGTTGGGTGGGGCAGGTCAGTTGGGTGGGGCAGGTCAGTTGGGTGGGGCAGGTCAGTTGGGTGGGGCAGAGAGGCAGGTCATTTGGGTGGGGCAGGTCAGTTGGGTGGGGCAGGTCAGTTGGGTGGGGCAGAGAGGCAGGTCAGTTGGGTGGGGCAGAGAGGCAGGTCAGTTGGGTGGGGCAGAGAGGCAGGTCAGTTGGGTGGGGCAGAGAGGCAGGTCAGTTGGGTGGGACAGGTCAGTTGGGTGGGGCAGGTCAGTTGGGTGGGGCAGGTCAGTTGGGTGGGGCAGGTCAGTTGGGTGGGGCAGAGAGGCAGGTCAGTTGGGTGGGGCAGAGAGGCAGGTCAGTTGGGTGGGGCAGAGAGGCAGGTCAGTTGGGTGGGGCAGGTCAGTTGGGTGGGGCAGGTCAGTTGGGTGGGGCAGAGAGGCAGGTCATTTGGGTGGGGCAGAAAGACCAGGTCAGTAGGGTGACCTTTCTTATCGTGTCAACCCATATTTCAGGTGTTTTGATGTGGCGAGGATTTCCATTGCACCAGTTTATGCATCAATGCTACGGTAATGCTAAAGACATTGGAAAAGGCAGACAAATGCCAGTACATTATGGATCCAGGGAGCATAACTTTGTCACAATTTCTTCCACGTTAGCAACTCAAATGCCTCAAGGTATTGATTTTCTCCTACTTTTTTTAGGCCATGTCATCTTGTTTGAGCTTAATGTCAAAAGTCAGCTGATTGTTTCCTAAGCTTCTGGAGCAGCCTATGCCTTCAAACGCAAACAAAATGGCTTGTGTGTGGCCTGTTACTTTGGGGAGGGAGCAGCCTCAGAGGGGGATGCTCATGCTGCCTTTAACTTTGCTTCTGTGCTCAACTGTCCAGTCATTTTTTTTTGGTGAGTAGCTCAATTCATTTACTCACCCACTCGTCACTTTGTTGGTCTGGTCAGCCACTGGTCACTTTGTTGGTCTAGTCACCCACTGGTCACTTTGTTGGTCTAGTCACCCACTGGTCACTTTGTTGGTCTAGTCACCCACTGGTCACTTTGTTGGTCTAGTCACCCACTGGTCACTTTGTTGGTCTAGTCACCCACTGGTCACTTTGTTGGTCTAGTCACCCACTGCTCACTTTGTTGGTCTAGTCACCCACTGGTCACTTTGTTGGTCTAGTCACCCACTGGTCACTTTGTTGGTCTAGTCACCCACTGGTCACTGTGTTGGTCTAGTCACCCACTGGTCACTTTGTTGGTCTAGTCAGCCACTGGTCACTTTGTTGGTCTAGTCACCCACTGGTCACTTTGTTGGTCTAGTCACCCACTGGTCACTTTGTTGGTCTAGTCAGCCACTGGTCACTGTGTTGGTCTAGTCAGCCACTGGTCACTTTGTTGGTCTAGTCACCCACTGGTCACTTTGTTGGTCTAGTCAGCCACTGGTCACTGTGTTGGTCTAGTCAGCCACTGGTCACTTTGTTGGTCTAGTCACCCACTGGTCACTTTGTTGGTCTAGTCACCCACTGGTCACTTTGTTGGTCTAGTCAGCCACTGGTCACTGTGTTGGTCTAGTCAGCCACTGGTCACTTTGTTGGTCTAGTCACCCACTGGTCACTTTGTTGGTCTAGTCAGCCACTGGTCACTGTGTTGGTCTAGTCAGCCACTGGTCACTTTGTTGGTCTAGTCACCCACTGGTCACTTTGTTGGTCTAGTCACCCACTGGTCACTTTGTTGGTCTAGTCAGCCACTGGTCACTGTGTTGGTCTAGTCAGCCACTGGTCACTTTGTTGGTCTAGTCAGCCACTGGTCACTGTGTTGGTCTAGTCACCCACTGGTCACTTTGTTGGTCTAGTCAGCCACTGGTCACTGTGTTGGTCTAGTCACCCACTGGTCACTGTGTTGGTCTAGTCAGCCACTGGTCACTTTGTTGGTCTAGTCGCCCACTGGTCACTGTGTTGGTCTAGTCACCCACTGGTCACTGTGTTGGTCTAGTCAGCCACTGGTCACTTTGTTGGTCTAGTCACCCACTGGTCACTGTGTTGGTCTAGTCAGCCACTGGTCACTTTGTTGGTCTAGTCAGCCACTGGTCACTGTGTTGGTCTAGTCATCCACTGGTCACTTTGTTGGTCTAGTCAGCCACTGGTCACTTTGTTGGTCTAGTCAGCCACTGGTCACTTTGTTGGTCTAGTCACCCACTGGTCACTTTGTTGGTCTAGTCAGCCACTGGTCACTTTGTTGGTCTAGTCAGCCACTGGTCTGGTAGATCTGGTCTTGCTCTGAACTTTGATGTTTTATCTCAGCAGAAACAATGGCTACGCCATTTCAACCCCAACCAAAGATCAGTACAGAGGAGACGGAATAGGTAAGTCCCAGGTTCATATTAGTTCATCTTGTCATCTAGCTAAAGTCTTAGGTTCATATTAGTTCATCTTGTCATCTAGCTAAAGTCTTAGGTTCATATTAGTTCATCTTGTCATCTAGCTAAAGTCTTAGGTTCATATTAGTTCATGTTGTCATCTAGCTAAAGTCTTAGGTTCATATTAGTTCATCTTGTCATCTAGCTAAAGTCTTAGGTTCATATTAGTTCATCTTGTCATCTAGCTAACATTGTCATCTAGCTAACATTGTCATCTAGCTAACATTGTCATCTAGCTGATATTGTCACCTCAGTTGTACAGAGTTGTATTGATTGATGAGAGCAATGTTAACATTTTCTTGACCTCAACATATTGTGTATTTATTTATTTGATGTTAACAATACTATGGTTGTGTCACCTGTAGTTTTGATGTGTCCCAGTGATGTCTGTCACCTGTAGTTTTGATGTGTCCCTGTAGTTTTGATGTGTCCCAGTAGTTTTGATGTGTCCCAGTAGTTTTGATGTGTCCCACTGATGTCTGTCACCTGTAGTTTTGATGTGTCCCACTGATGTTTGTCACCTGTAGTTTTGATGTGTCCCAGTAGTTTTGATGTGTCCCAGTAGTTTTGATGTGTCCCAGTAGTTTTGATGTGTCCCAGTAGTTTTGATGTGTCCCACTGATGTCTGTCACCAGTAGTTTTGATGTGTCCCAGTGATGTCTGTCACCTGTAGTTTTGATGTGTCCCTGTAGTTTTGATGTGTCCCAGTAGTTTTGATGTGTCCCACTGATGTCTGTCACCTGTAGTTTTGATGTGTCCCACTGATGTTTGTCACCTGTAGTTTTGATGTGTCCCAGTAGTTTTGATGTGTCCCAGTAGTTTTGATGTGTCCCAGTAGTTTTGATGTGTCCCACTGATGTCTGTCACCTGTAGTTTTGATGTGTCCCACTGATGTCTGTCACCTGTAGTTTTGATGTGTCCCAGTAGTTTTGATGTGTCCCAGTAGTTTTGATGTGTCCCACTGATGTCTGTCACCAGTAGTTTTGATGTGTCCCTGTAGTTTTGATGTGTCCCACTGATGTCTGTCACCAGTAGTTTTGATGTGTCCCAGTAGTTTTGATGTGTCCCAGTAGTTTTGATGTGTCCCAGTAGTTTTGATGTGTCCCACTGATGTCTGTCACCTGTAGTTTTGATGTGTCCCACTGATGTCTGTCACCAGTAGTTTTGATGTGTCCCAGTAGTTTTGATGTGTCCCACTGATGTCTGTCACCTGTAGTTTTGATGTGTCCCACTGATGTCTGTCACCTGTAGTTTTGATGTGTCCCACTGATGTCTGTCACCAGTAGTTTTGATGTGTCCCAGTAGTTTTGATGTGTCCCACTGATGTCTGTCACCTGTAGTTTTGATGTGTCCCACTGATGTCTGTCACCTGTAGTTTTGATGTGTCCCACTGATGTCTGTCACCAGTAGTTTTGATGTGTCCCAGTAGTTTTGATGTGTCCCACTGATGTCTGTCACCTGTAGTTTTGATGTGTCCCACTGATGTCTGTCACCAGTAGTTTTGATGTGTCCCAGTAGTTTTGATGTGTCCCACTGATGTCTGTCACCTGTAGTTTTGATGTGTCCCACTGATGTCTGTCACCTGTAGTTTTGATGTGTCCCACTGATGTCTGTCACCAGTAGTTTTGATGTGTCCCAGTAGTTTTGATGTGTCCCACTGATGTCTGTCACCTGTAGTTTTGATGTGTCCCACTGATGTCTGTCACCTGTAGTTTTGATGTGTCCCACTGATGTCTGTCACCTGTAGTTTTGATGTGTCCCACTGATGTCTGTCACCAGTAGTTTTGATGTGTCCCAGTAGTTTTGATGTGTCCCACTGATGTCTGTCACCTGTAGTTTTGATGTGTCCCACTGATGTCTGTCACCTGTAGTTTTGATGTGTCCCACTGATGTCTGTCACCTGTAGTTTTGATGTGTCCCACTGATGTCTGTCACCAGTAGTTTTGATGTGTCCCAGTAGTTTTGATGTGTCCCACTGATGTCTGTCACCAGTAGTTTTGATGTGTCCCAGTAGTTTTGATGTGTCCCACTGATGTCTGTCACCTGTAGTTTTGATGTGTCCCACTGATGTCTGTCACCAGTAGTTTTGATGTGTCCCAGTAGTTTTGATGTGTCCCACTGATGTCTGTCACCTGTAGTTTTGATGTGTCCCACTGATGTCTGTCACCAGTAGTTTTGATGTGTCCCTGTAGTTTTGATGTGTCCCACTGATGTCTGTCACCAGTAGTTTTGATGTGTCCCACTGATGTCTGTCACCAGTAGTTTTGATGTGTCCCTGTAGTTTTGATGTGTCCCACTGATGTCTGTCACCAGTAGTTTTGATGTGTCCCTGTAGTTTTGATGTGTCCCACTGATGTCTGTCACCTGTAGTTTTGATGTGTCCCACTGATGTCTGTCACCAGTAGTTTTGATGTGTCCTTGTAGTTTTGATGTGTCCCACTGATGTCTGTCACCAGTAGTTTTGATGTGTCCCTGTAGTTTTGATGTGTCCCACTGATGTCTGTCACCTGTAGTTTTGATGTGTCCCACTGATGTCTGTCACCAGTAGTTTTGATGTGTCCCTGTAGTTTTGATGTGTCCCACTGATGTCTGTCACCTGTAGTTTTGATGTGTCCCTGTAGTTTTGATGTGTCCCTGTAGTTTTGATGTGTCCCTGTAGTTTTGATGTGTCCCTGTAGTTTTGATGTGTCCCACTGATGTCTGTCACCTGTAGTTTTGATGTGTCCCAGTAGTTTTGATGTGTCCCTGTAGTTTTGATGTGTCCCTGTAGTTTTGATGTGTCCCTGTAGTTTTGATGTGTCCCTGTAGTTTTGATGTGTCCCTGTAGTTTTGATGTGTCCCACTGATGTCTGTCACCTGTAGTTTTGATGTGTCCCAGTAGTTTTGATGTGTCCCTGTAGTTTTGATGTGTCCCTGTAGTTTTGATGTGTCCCTGTAGTTTTGATGTGTCCCTGTAGTTTTGATGTGTCCCACTGATGTCTGTCACCTGTAGTTTTGATGTGTCCCAGTAGTTTTGATGTGTCCCTGTAGTTTTGATGTGTCCCTGTAGTTTTGATGTGTCCCTGTAGTTTTGATGTGTCCCTGTAGTTTTGATGTGTCCCACTGATGTCTGTCACCTGTAGTTTTGATGTGTCCCAGTAGTTTTGATGTGTCCCTGTAGTTTTGATGTGTCCCTGTAGTTTTGATGTGTCCCTGTAGTTTTGATGTGTCCCTGTAGTTTTGATGTGTCCCACTGATGTCTGTCACCTGTAGTTTTGATGTGTCCCACTGATGTCTGTCACCTGTAGTTTTGATGTGTCCCACTAATGTCTGTCACCTGTAGTTTTGATGTGTCCCACTGATGTTTGTCACCTGTAGTTTTGATGTGTCCCACTGATGTCTGTCACCTGTAGTTTTGATGTGTCCCTGTAGTTTTGATGTGTCCCAGTAGTTTTGATGTGTCCCTGTAGTTTTGATGTGTCCCTGTAGTTTTGATGTGTCCCTGTAGTTTTGATGTGTCCCTGTAGTTTTGATGTGTCCCACTGATGTCTGTCACCTGTAGTTTTGATGTGTCCCTGTAGTTTTGATGTGTCCCACTAATGTCTGTCACCTGTAGTTTTGATGTGTCCCACTGATGTTTGTCACCTGTAGTTTTGATGTGTCCCACTGATGTCTGTCACCTGTAGTTTTGATGTGTCCCACTAATGTCTGTCACCTGTAGTTTTGATGTGTCCCACTGATGTTTGTCACCTGTAGTTTTGATGTGTCCCACTGATGTCTGTCACCTGTAGTTTTGATGTGTCCCACTAATGTCTGTCACCTGTAGTTTTGATGTGTCCCACTAATGTCTGTCACCTGTAGTTTTGATGTGTCCCACTGATGTTTGTCACCTGTAGTTTTGATGTGTCCCACTGATGTCTGTCACCTGTAGTTTTGATGTGTCCCACTAATGTCTGTCACCTGTAGTTTTGATGTGTCCCACTGATGTTTGTCACCTGTAGTTTTGATGTGTCCCACTGATGTCTGTCACCTGTAGTTTTGATGTGTCCCTGTAGTTTTGATGTGTCCCAGTAGTTTTGATGTGTCCCACTGATGTTTGTCACCTGTAGTTTTGATGTGTCCCACTAATGTCTGTCACCTGTAGTTTTGATGTGTCCCACTAATGTCTGTCACCTGTAGTTTTGATGTGTCCCACTGATGTTTGTCACCTGTAGTTTTGATGTGTCCCACTGATGTCTGTCACCTGTAGTTTTGATGTGTCCCACTAATGTCTGTCACCTGTAGTTTTGATGTGTCCCACTGATGTTTGTCACCTGTAGTTTTGATGTGTCCCACTGATGTCTGTCACCTGTAGTTTTGATGTGTCCCTGTAGTTTTGATGTGTCCCAGTAGTTTTGATGTGTCCCTGTAGTTTTGATGTGTCCCTGTAGTTTTGATGTGTCCCTGTAGTTTTGATGTGTCCCTGTAGTTTTGATGTGTCCCACTGATGTCTGTCACCTGTAGTTTTGATGTGTCCCAGTAGTTTTGATGTGTCCCAGTAGTTTTGATGTGTCCCAGTAGTTTTGATGTGTCCCACTGATGTCTGTCACCTGTAGTTTTGATGTGTCCCACTGATGTCTGTCACCAGTAGTTTTGATGTGTCCCAGTAGTTTTGATGTGTCCCACTGATGTCTGTCACCTGTAGTTTTGATGTGTCCCACTGATGTCTGTCACCTGTAGTTTTGATGTGTCCCACTGATGTCTGTCACCAGTAGTTTTGATGTGTCCCAGTAGTTTTGATGTGTCCCACTGATGTCTGTCACCTGTAGTTTTGATGTGTCCCACTGATGTCTGTCACCTGTAGTTTTGATGTGTCCCACTGATGTCTGTCACCAGTAGTTTTGATGTGTCCCAGTAGTTTTGATGTGTCCCACTGATGTCTGTCACCTGTAGTTTTGATGTGTCCCACTGATGTCTGTCACCAGTAGTTTTGATGTGTCCCAGTAGTTTTGATGTGTCCCACTGATGTCTGTCACCTGTAGTTTTGATGTGTCCCACTGATGTCTGTCACCTGTAGTTTTGATGTGTCCCACTGATGTCTGTCACCAGTAGTTTTGATGTGTCCCAGTAGTTTTGATGTGTCCCACTGATGTCTGTCACCTGTAGTTTTGATGTGTCCCACTGATGTCTGTCACCTGTAGTTTTGATGTGTCCCACTGATGTCTGTCACCTGTAGTTTTGATGTGTCCCACTGATGTCTGTCACCAGTAGTTTTGATGTGTCCCAGTAGTTTTGATGTGTCCCACTGATGTCTGTCACCTGTAGTTTTGATGTGTCCCACTGATGTCTGTCACCTGTAGTTTTGATGTGTCCCACTGATGTCTGTCACCTGTAGTTTTGATGTGTCCCACTGATGTCTGTCACCAGTAGTTTTGATGTGTCCCAGTAGTTTTGATGTGTCCCACTGATGTCTGTCACCAGTAGTTTTGATGTGTCCCAGTAGTTTTGATGTGTCCCACTGATGTCTGTCACCTGTAGTTTTGATGTGTCCCACTGATGTCTGTCACCAGTAGTTTTGATGTGTCCCAGTAGTTTTGATGTGTCCCACTGATGTCTGTCACCTGTAGTTTTGATGTGTCCCACTGATGTCTGTCACCAGTAGTTTTGATGTGTCCCTGTAGTTTTGATGTGTCCCACTGATGTCTGTCACCAGTAGTTTTGATGTGTCCCACTGATGTCTGTCACCAGTAGTTTTGATGTGTCCCTGTAGTTTTGATGTGTCCCACTGATGTCTGTCACCAGTAGTTTTGATGTGTCCCTGTAGTTTTGATGTGTCCCACTGATGTCTGTCACCTGTAGTTTTGATGTGTCCCACTGATGTCTGTCACCAGTAGTTTTGATGTGTCCTTGTAGTTTTGATGTGTCCCACTGATGTCTGTCACCAGTAGTTTTGATGTGTCCCTGTAGTTTTGATGTGTCCCACTGATGTCTGTCACCTGTAGTTTTGATGTGTCCCACTGATGTCTGTCACCAGTAGTTTTGATGTGTCCCTGTAGTTTTGATGTGTCCCACTGATGTCTGTCACCTGTAGTTTTGATGTGTCCCTGTAGTTTTGATGTGTCCCTGTAGTTTTGATGTGTCCCTGTAGTTTTGATGTGTCCCTGTAGTTTTGATGTGTCCCACTGATGTCTGTCACCTGTAGTTTTGATGTGTCCCAGTAGTTTTGATGTGTCCCTGTAGTTTTGATGTGTCCCTGTAGTTTTGATGTGTCCCTGTAGTTTTGATGTGTCCCTGTAGTTTTGATGTGTCCCACTGATGTCTGTCACCTGTAGTTTTGATGTGTCCCAGTAGTTTTGATGTGTCCCTGTAGTTTTGATGTGTCCCTGTAGTTTTGATGTGTCCCTGTAGTTTTGATGTGTCCCTGTAGTTTTGATGTGTCCCACTGATGTCTGTCACCTGTAGTTTTGATGTGTCCCAGTAGTTTTGATGTGTCCCTGTAGTTTTGATGTGTCCCTGTAGTTTTGATGTGTCCCTGTAGTTTTGATGTGTCCCTGTAGTTTTGATGTGTCCCACTGATGTCTGTCACCTGTAGTTTTGATGTGTCCCAGTAGTTTTGATGTGTCCCTGTAGTTTTGATGTGTCCCTGTAGTTTTGATGTGTCCCTGTAGTTTTGATGTGTCCCTGTAGTTTTGATGTGTCCCACTGATGTCTGTCACCTGTAGTTTTGATGTGTCCCACTGATGTCTGTCACCTGTAGTTTTGATGTGTCCCACTAATGTCTGTCACCTGTAGTTTTGATGTGTCCCACTGATGTTTGTCACCTGTAGTTTTGATGTGTCCCACTGATGTCTGTCACCTGTAGTTTTGATGTGTCCCTGTAGTTTTGATGTGTCCCAGTAGTTTTGATGTGTCCCTGTAGTTTTGATGTGTCCCTGTAGTTTTGATGTGTCCCTGTAGTTTTGATGTGTCCCTGTAGTTTTGATGTGTCCCACTGATGTCTGTCACCTGTAGTTTTGATGTGTCCCTGTAGTTTTGATGTGTCCCACTAATGTCTGTCACCTGTAGTTTTGATGTGTCCCACTGATGTTTGTCACCTGTAGTTTTGATGTGTCCCACTGATGTCTGTCACCTGTAGTTTTGATGTGTCCCACTAATGTCTGTCACCTGTAGTTTTGATGTGTCCCACTGATGTTTGTCACCTGTAGTTTTGATGTGTCCCACTGATGTCTGTCACCTGTAGTTTTGATGTGTCCCACTAATGTCTGTCACCTGTAGTTTTGATGTGTCCCACTGATGTTTGTCACCTGTAGTTTTGATGTGTCCCACTAATGTCTGTCACCTGTAGTTTTGATGTGTCCCACTGATGTTTGTCACCTGTAGTTTTGATGTGTCCCACTGATGTCTGTCACCTGTAGTTTTGATGTGTCCCACTAATGTCTGTCACCTGTAGTTTTGATGTGTCCCAGTAGTTTTGATGTGTCCCTGTAGTTTTGATGTGTCCCTGTAGTTTTGATGTGTCCCTGTAGTTTTGATGTGTCCCTGTAGTTTTGATGTGTCCCACTGATGTCTGTCACCTGTAGTTTTGATGTGTCCCTGTAGTTTTGATGTGTCCCACTAATGTCTGTCACCTGTAGTTTTGATGTGTCCCACTGATGTTTGTCACCTGTAGTTTTGATGTGTCCCACTGATGTCTGTCACCTGTAGTTTTGATGTGTCCCACTAATGTCTGTCACCTGTAGTTTTGATGTGTCCCACTGATGTTTGTCACCTGTAGTTTTGATGTGTCCCACTGATGTCTGTCACCTGTAGTTTTGATGTGTCCCACTAATGTCTGTCACCTGTAGTTTTGATGTGTCCCACTGATGTTTGTCACCTGTAGTTTTGATGTGTCCCACTAATGTCTGTCACCTGTAGTTTTGATGTGTCCCACTGATGTTTGTCACCTGTAGTTTTGATGTGTCCCACTGATGTCTGTCACCTGTAGTTTTGATGTGTCCCACTAATGTCTGTCACCTGTAGTTTTGATGTGTCCCACTGATGTTTGTCACCTGTAGTTTTGATGTGTCCCACTGATGTCTGTCACCTGTAGTTTTGATGTGTCCCTGTAGTTTTGATGTGTCCCAGTAGTTTTGATGTGTCCCTGTAGTTTTGATGTGTCCCTGTAGTTTTGATGTGTCCCTGTAGTTTTGATGTGTCCCTGTAGTTTTGATGTGTCCCACTGATGTCTGTCACCTGTAGTTTTGATGTGTCCCTGTAGTTTTGATGTGTCCCACTAATGTCTGTCACCTGTAGTTTTGATGTGTCCCACTAATGTCTGTCACCTGTAGTTTTGATGTGTCCCACTAATGTCTGTCACCTGTAGTTTTGATGTGTCCCTGTAGTTTTGATGTGTCCCACTAATGTCTGTCACCTGTAGTTTTGATGTGTCCCAGTAGTTTTGATGTGTCCCACTAATGTCTGTCACCTGTAGTTTTGATGTGTCCCACTGATGTTTGTCACCTGTAGTTTTGATGTGTCCCACTGATGTCTGTCACCTGTAGTTTTGATGTGTCCCACTAATGTCTGTCACCTGTAGTTTTGATGTGTCCCACTGATGTTTGTCACCTGTAGTTTTGATGTGTCCCACTGATGTTTGTCACCTGTAGTTTTGATGTGTCCCACTGATGTTTGTCACCTGTGTCCCCAGCCTCTAGGGCGGCAGGCTATGGCATGCTGTGTATACGAGTTGATGGCAATGATGTGTTTGCTGTTTATAATGCAACCAAGAGGGCCAGACAAGTTTGTGTCACCCAAAGTAGACCTGTTTTAATTGAGGCCATGACGTACAGGTATCTCTCACAATGTCAGGCTGATGTGTGATGTCTGTCTGATGTGTGATGTCTGTCTGATGTGTGATGTCAGGCTGATGTGTGATGTCAGGCTGATGTGTGATGTCTGTCTGATGTGTGATGTCTGTCTGATGTGTGATGTCAGGCTGATGTGTGATGGCAGGTTGATGTGTGATGTCTGTCTGATGTGTGATGTCAGGCTGATGTGTGATGTCTGTCTAATGTGTGATGTCTGTCTAATGTGTGATGTCAGGTTGATGTGTGATGTCTGTCTGATGTGTGATGTCTGTCTGATGTGTGATGTCAGGCTGATGTGTGATGTCTGTCTAATGTGTGATGTCAGGCTGATGTGTGATGTCTGTCTGATGTGTGATGTCAGGTTGATGTGTGATGTCAGGCTGATGTGTGATGTCTGTCTGATGTGTGATGTCAAGCTGATCTGTGATGTCTGTCTAATGTGTGATGTCAGGTTGATGTGTGATGTCAGGTTGATGTGTGATGGCAGGTTGATGTGTGATGTCAGGCTGATGTGTGATGTCAGGTTGATGTGTGATGTCAGGTTGATGTGTGATGTCAGGTTGATGTGTGATGTCAGGTTGATGTGTGATGTCAGGCTGATGTGTGATGTCAGGCTGATTTGTGATGGCAGGCTGATGTGTGATGTCAGGTTGCTGTGTGATGTCAGGCTGATGTGTGATGTCAGGCTGATGTGTGATGTCAGGTTGATGTGTGATGTCAGGCTGATGTGTGATGTCAGGCTGATGTGTGATGTCTGTCTGATGTGTGATGTCTGTCTGATGTGTGATGTCAGGCTGATGTGTGATGGCAGGTTGATGTGTGATGTCTGTCTGATGTGTGATGTCTGTCTGATGTGTGATGTCAGGCTGATGTGTGATGTCTGTCTAATGTGTGATGTCTGTCTGATGTGTGATGTCTGTCTGATGTGTGATGTCAGGTTGATGTGTGATGTCAGGCTGATGTGTGATGTCTGTCTGATGTGTGATGTCAAGCTGATGTGTGATGTCTGTCTAATGTGTGATGTCAGGTTGATGTGTGATGGCAGGTTGATGTGTGATGTCAGGCTGATGTGTGATGTCAGGCTGATGTGTGATGGCAGGTTGATGTGTGATGTCAGGCTGATGTGTGATGTCAGGCTGATGTGTGATGTCAGGTTGATGTGTGATGTCAGGTTGATGTGTGATGTCAGGTTGATGTGTGATGTCAGGCTGATGTGTGATGTCAGGCTGATGTGTGATGGCAGGCTGATGTGTGATGTCAGGTTGATGTGTGATGTCAGGCTGATGTGTGATGTCAGGCTGATGTGTGATGTCAGGTTGATGTGTGATGTCAGGTTGATGTGTGATGGCAGGTTGATGTGTGATGTCTGGCTGATGTGTGATGTCAGGCTGATGTGTGATGTCAGGCTGATGTCTGATGTCAGGCTGATGTGTGATGTCAGGTTGATGTGTGATGTCTGGTTGATGTGTGATGTCTGGTTGATGTGTGATGTCAGGTTGATGTGTGATGTCAGGTTGATGTGTGATGTCAGGCTGATGTGTGATGTCTGTCTGATGTGTGATGTCAGGTTGATGTGTGATGTCAGGCTGATGTGTGATGTCAGGCTGATGTGTGATGTCTGTCTGATGTGTGATGTCTGTCTGATGTGTGATGTCTGTCTGATGTGTGATGTCAGGTTGATGTGTGATGTCAGGCTGATGTGTGATGTCTGTCTGATGTGTGATGTCAGGTTGATGTGTGATGTCAGGCTGATGTGTGATGTCAGGCTGATGTGTGATGTCTGTCTGATGTGTGATGTCTGTCTGATGTGTGATGTCTGTCTGATGTGTGATGTCAGGTTGATGTGTGATGTCAGGCTGATGTGTGATGTCAGGCTGATGTGTGATGTCAGGCTGATGTGTGATGTCAGGCTGATGTGTGATGTCTGTCTGATGTGTGATGTCAGGTTGATGTGTGATGTCAGGCTGATGTGTGATGTCTGTCTGATGTGTGATGTCAAGCTGATGTGTGATGGCAGGTTGATGTGTGATGTCAGGTTGATGTGTGATGTCAGGTTGATGTGTGATGTCAGGTTGATGTGTGATGTCAGGCTGATGTGTGATGTCAGGCTGATGTGTGATGGCAGGCTGATGTGTGATGTAAGGTTGATGTGTGATGTCAGGCTGATGTGTGATGTCAGGCTGATGTGTGATGTCAGGTTGATGTGTGATGTCAGGTTGATGTGTGATGGCAGGTTGATGTGTGATGTCAGGCTGATGTCTGATGTCAGGCTGATGTCTGATGTCAGGCTGATGTGTGATGTCAGGTTGATGTGTGATGTCTGGTTGATGTGTGATGTCTGGTTGATGTGTGATGTCAGGTTGATGTGTGATGTCAGGTTGATGTGTGATGTCAGGTTGATGTGTGATGTCAGGCTGATGTGTGATGTCTGTCTGATGTGTGATGTCAGGTTGATGTGTGATGTCAGGCTGATGTGTGATGTCAGGCTGATGTGTGATGTCTGTGTGATGTCTGTCTGATGTGTGATGTCTGTCTGATGTGTGATGTCAGGTTGATGTGTGATGTCAGGCTGATGTGTGATGTGTGTCTGATGTGTGATGTCAGGTTGATGTGTGATGTCAGGCTGATGTGTGATGTCTGTCTGATGTGTGATGTCTGTCTCATGTGTGATGTCTGTCTGATGTGTGATGTCAGGTTGATGTGTGATGTCAGGCTGATGTGTGATGTCAGGCTGATGTGTGATGTCTGTCTGATGTGTGATGTCTGTCTCATGTGTGATGTCTGTCTGATGTGTGATGTCAGGTTGATGTGTGATGGCAGGTTGATGTGTGATGTCAGGCTGATGTGTGATGTCAGGTTGATGTGTGATGTCAGGCTGATGTGTGATGTCAGGTTGATGTGTGATGTCAGGCTGATGTGTGATGTCAGGCTGATGTGTGATGTCTGGCTAATGTGTGATGTCAGGTTGATGTGTGATGGCAGGTTGATGTGTGATGGCAGGCTGATGTGTGATGTCAGGCTAATGTGTGATGTCTGTCTGATGTGTGATGGCAGGTTGATGTGTGATGTCTGGCTGATGTGTGATGTCAGGCTGATGTGTGATGTCAGGCTGATGTGTGATGTCTGGCTAATGTGTGATGTCAGGTTGATGTGTGATGGCAGGTTGATGTGTGATGTCAGGCTGATGTGTGATGTCAGGCTAATGTGTGATGTCAGGCTGATGTGTGATGTCAGGCTGATGTGTGATGGCAGGCTGATGTGTGATGTCAGGTTGATGTGTGATGACTGGCTGTTTGAACAGGCTAGGCCACCACAGCACCTCAGACGACAGCTCAGCCTACAGGTCTGTTGACGAGGTCAGCCACTGGGACAAAACAGACAACCCCATCTCTAGGCTGCGCCACTACATGCTCAACAAGGGCTGGTGGGACGAGGACAAGGAGAAACAATGGAAACTTGAATCTCGCAGGATGGTAAGCCATTCTCTTGGTTGCATTCATTGGGGTTTGATGATGGGGGTGGCTCTAATTTCTAACAGTTCAAATCACTTTAGTGACATAAATCAGGGTGACACAAATGATGGTTATATGACTTGTTGGCATGAATGATGGTTATATGACTTGGTGGCATGAATGATGGTTATATGACTTGTTGGCATGAATGATGGTGAGACTGACTGTTGCAGGTGATGAAAGCATTTGCTGCAGCAGAGAATGAAAAACGCGGGCGCCCTGAATCTCTATTTGAAGATGTGTATGACGAGCCTCCTGCCAGCATACAGGAGCAGATGAACTCAATGAAGAAACACGTCCAGCTCTACAAAGAACATTATCCTCTGGAGCATTACCAGCCCATGGCCTAGATAGGCTACCACATTTTAACCAGAGCATAGACATGCACTTAAACTTTGTTCAAGTCTATTTTGTTATTGCAGTATTTTCTATTTGTCATGTAACATCAAGCAGAGTACGCTGTTACGTTATGTAATGTAACATATGCCATCATTTGAACACTTCAATCTACAGAAAAAGAGGAATTATATGAATCATTTGCTACTACTGTGACTGAATGCAACGTGACGCAACCGCCATTACTTTCTGTCGCATTTTATTCATGCAAAAAGCGCTTGTACACTATTTATGCTCACTAAATATAGTACAAGAAGGCACAAGATTTTTCTAGGATTCTTTTGTTCTTATTTTATACTGAGTTGACTAGCTTGGGTTCTGGAAAAGTTTTTGTTTTTTGTGTAAACGGTCGCATTATCATTGTTTGCATTTTGTTTTGAAGAATCACTATTATTATTACATTAGATATTTAAGCTGTTAGAATTACCAATGAGAATGTATTGTAGAATTGTAATTTTTAAAACTATGAGAAATGTGTGCTCCATGGCGGACTGCTGACCACCAGGTTGCATCACAAAATCATCTCTGAACGATAAATACGCTTAGAAAAATGTATTCAATTATGTTTTCTTTGAGATATTTCATTTCTTTATTTAATAAGTATATTTTGTGCCTTTTAAATCATAAAATAAAGAATAAACTTATTTTTAAAAACAATCTCAAAGAAGTTTTTGGAGGTTACCTCCCTTAGCTTAGGGCCTGGTTGAGGCTTTAGAAGCAAAGAGTTAAGCATCAATAAGGAGTATAGGCACTTTCAAACTTTTGTCCAGTTTAAAGACAATGAACCCTGAGAAGGTTTTAGAAGTCTTGCAACAGCCACACCACACCCATGTTTTAAGGTGACTGGTGTTTTAGAAGTCCTGCAACAGCCACACCACACCCAGGTCTTTATGGTGACTGGTGTTAGTTCCAGTTGACCACTGTCCAATGGACAAGAGAATTTGTTTATCAAATGTGAGAAAACTTAATGATGACTTCACATTTCTATAACCATTGAAAGAACTTGTAAACATTTTTAGACTCAGGGCTGTAGACTTGAGGAGTGGTGATCAAAATATGCACCATAGGGTTGTTGCAACTTTGGACTTGACAAAGTATACACCATAGGGTTGCTGTGACAAAGTATGCACCATTGGGTTGTTGCAACTTTGGACTTGACAAAGTATGCACCATTGGGTTGTTGCAACTTTGGACTTGACAAAGTATACACCATAGGGTTGCTGTGACAAAGTATGCACCATTGTTGGGTTGTTGCAACTTTGGACTTGACAAAGTATGGACCATTGGGTTGTTGCAACTTTGGACTTGACAAAGTATACACCATAGGGTTGCTGTGACAAAGTATGCACCATTGGGTTGTTGCAACTTTGGACTTGACAAAGTATGCACCATTGGGTTGTTGCAACTTTGGACTTGACAAAGTATACACCATAGGGTTGCTGTGACAAAGTATGCACCATTGCTGGGTTGTTGCAACTTCGGAACTTGACAAAGTATGCACCATTGTTGGGTTGTTGCAACTTTGGACTTGACAAAGTATACACCATAGGGTTGCTGTGACAAAGTATGCACCATTGTTGGGTTGTTGCAACTTTGGACTTGACAAAGTATGGACCATTGGGTTGTTGCAACTTTGGACTTGACAAAGTATACACCATAGGGTTGCTGTGACAAAGTATGCACCATTGGGTTGTTGCAACTTTGGACTTGACAAAGTATGCACCATTGGGTTGTTGCAACTTTGGACTTTGATGCTGTAACATAGTTTGAGCATTAAGTCTTTGTTCATTCTAGTTGGTGAGAATGTTTTAATCTAGTTTTCAGAGATTTGCCCATTTACAATTTGTTGAATGTACTTGACAGAGATTTGCCCATATACAATGGATGAGAATCATTCCATCATTGTTGACATGGATTAAAAAAAACGTTTTTTTGTAATTTATGCAAAGTGGCCATAAAAAAAAAAAAAAAAAAAACTTAATCTTGAAAAATAATTCTGAAATTGAATATTTTTAGAATCATGTTATAGATTGGAAATCCAGTGACCTTTGTAAAACAAACATTGATTGGCTCTTCTTTGTGATAGATTTTCTGAAAAGCCAACATCATAAAAAACTCAATTTGTACTCAAAACTTTGTCAATACAATTTGTACTCAAAACTTTGTCAATACAATTTGTACTCAAAACTTTGTCAATACAATTTGTACTCAAAACTTTGTCAATACAATTTGTACTCAAAACTTTGTCAATACAATTTGTACTCAAAACTTTGTCAATACAATTTGTACTCAAAACTTTGTCAATACAATTTGTACTCAAAACTTTGTCAATACAATTTGTACTCAAAACTTTGTCAATACAATTTGTACTCAAAACTTTGTCAATACAATTTGTACTCAAAACTTTGTCAATACAATTTTTCAAGCTTAGCCATTTTTATTGTCAATCTCCATGAATGGATAAATGTATACAATTACATTTTTTTTTTGCTAAGTTACAGAAAATACTAAAAACATCGATTACATCCATCCTTTAGCTATGTCCAACAAAAATCAGTCATTTTATAACAATATTTATTTAAAAAATAAAAAGAAATAATTTTCAGACTATTCTTGATTGTGTCCCTATAGATCTAGAATCTCTATTCAATAGCAGTGTACATTCAGGCATGGATTCTTTATTCTCTTGAAATGACTGTTTTGTCAGAATTGAAGAAAGTGGTAGTATAGGTTGGCCAATTCATTGACTTAGCACAGCATGAAGAAAGTGGTAGTATAGGTTGGCCAATTCATTGACTTAGCACAGCATGAAGAAAGTGGTAGTATTGGTTGGCCAATTCATTGACTTTGCACAGCATGAAGAAAGCGCAGTAGCCAGTGGTACCCACGTGAATTACAGGACTTTTTACTCTTGTACTTGGTTGTAAAAATTTATTTATAAAATACTGCAGGGTCAAAACACTGTGCTTAACTAAATGATAGTGACAAAGCAAAGAAACAACTTAATAACTAAAAGACCCACACATTTAAAATAACAAAGGCTGCCAATACCTATTAGATAAATTAAAACGCAACTATTAGTTTCAACACAACACCATATTAAATGCAAGCACTAATTTCAATAATTCCATAAAAAACCTGGACAATATGATATTATTTTTTTTTTAAATAGTAATTTGTATTAATTTTGGCTAAGAAAATTGTATACATTTCGTAAAATAGGCCTATGTCTTGATAAGTAGATATAAATCAAATTTGAATGAAATAGTTCATTTCTTCATATTCTAAAATTGGAAGATGCTGCCATTAGTGTTGTGTACTTTCTTTAATTTAAACATGTGACATCATAAACATGTGACATCATAGTTTTTTTGCGTTCTGGTTAAAATCATACTCTTTTCCGGTTGCATAATTAATTATGCGTTTCTACATTTGAATATGCCTTTATTTTTAATTTCCTTCCTTAAATAACATTTAATTTATACATTTAATACATCCAAAATTTTTAAAATAAAAGTCTGTGTATCATTAAATTCTCCATATATTGCTGAAGATACTGATCTCATAGCCTCGGGACATGTGCAGAGAGAGAGAAAGAAGTACGCACATGGGCTTTTATATATTAGGATAGCAACCCTGACATAATTAAATAGAGTTGAAGGGTCTCTCTCTAACTGAAAACTAAACTAGAGTTTAAAGGTCTCTCTCTAACTGAAAACTAAAACTAGAGTTGAAGGGTCTCTCTCAATTGAAAACTAAAACTAGAGTTGAAGGGTCTCTCTCAATTGAAATGTGCGGTGTCCTGTGGCTCAACAAAGTTACCAGTTGTCTAAAAAGTCAAAGCCAGTTGTAGGCATCTCATCAGCACCATCAGCAGGGGCACCATCAGCCTGAAAAAATATTAAGATTTACTCAAGTGGCTTTTACAACAAGTCTGACTAAAGAAAACATAGTAGCCGCACTCAACTGCCCCTTTTTAACAAGTACACCAATCAATGATTTTCTCCTGAAAAATGAGGGCATTGATGGTAAAAGTGAAAAACTGGTCCACCCCATCTTTAGAGCCATCCCACCTTAGGGTGATTCATACACCACAAGTTGTCTCCCCCCCCCCACTCCCAGTGCCATTCATACAACACAAGCTGTCCCCCCCCCCCCCCACTCACAGTGCCATTCATACACCACAAGTTGTCTCCCCCCCACTCCCAGTGCCATTCATACAACACAAGCTGTCTCCCCCCCCCCCCACTCACAGTGCCATGTGACATTCATACAACACAAGCTGTCTCCCCCCCCCCCCACTCCCAGTGCCATTCATACAACACAAGCTGTCCCCCCCCCCCCCCACTCACAGTGCCATGTGACATTCATACAACACAAGCTGTCTCCCCCCCCCCCCACTCCCAGTGCCATTCATACAACACAAGCTGTCCCCCCCCCCCACTCCCAGTGCCATTCATACAACACAAGCTGTCCCCCCCCCCACTCCCAGTGCCATTCATACAACACAAGCTGTCCCCCCCCCCCCCACTCCCAGTGACATTCATACAACACAAGCTGTCTCCCCCCCCCCCCCCCCACTCCCAGTGCCATTCATACAACACAAGCTGTCCCCCCCCCCCCCACTCCCAGTGCCATTCATACAACACAAGCTGTCCCCCCCCCCCACTCCCAGTGCCATTCATACAACACAAGCTGTCCCCCCCCCCCCCCACTCCCAGTGCCATGTGACATTCATACAACACAAGCTGTCTCCCCCCCCCCCACTCCCAGTGCCATGTGACATTCATACAACACAAGCTGTCTCCCCCCCCCCCCACTCCCAGTGCCATTCATACACCACAAGCTGTCCCCCCCCCCCCACTCCCAGTGCCATTCATACAACACAAGCTGTCCCCCCCCCCACTCCCAGTGCCATTCATACAACACAAGCTGTCCCCCCCCCCCCCACTCCCAGTGCCATTCATACAACACAAGCTGTCTCCCCCCCCCCCCCACTCCCAGTGCCATTCATACAACACAAGCTGTCCCCCCCCCCACTCCCAGTGCCATTCATACAACACAAGCTGTCCCCCCCCCCCCCCACTCCCAGTGCCATTCATACAACACAAGCTGTCCCCCCCCCCCCACTCCCAGTGCCATGTGACATTCATACAACACAAGCTGTCTCCCCCCCCCCCCCACTCCCAGTGCCATGTGACATTCATACAACACAAGCTGTCTCCCCCCCCCCCCCCACTCCCAGTGCCATTCATACAACACAAGCTGTCTCCCCCCCCCCCCACTCCCAGTGCCATTCATACACCACAAGCTGCCCCCCCCCCCCCACTCCCAGTGCCATGTGACATTCATACAACACAAGCTGTCTCCCCCCCCCCCACTCCCAGTGCCATTCATACACCACAAGCTGTCCCCCCCCCCACTCCCAGTGCCATGTGACATTCATACAACACAAGCTGTCTCCCCCCCCCCCACTCCCAGTGCCATGTGACATTCATACAACACAAGCTGTCTCCCCCCCCCCCCCACTCCCATTCATACACCACAAGCTGTCTCCCCCCCCCCCCCCACTCCCAGTGCCATGTGACATTCATACAACACAAGCTGTCTCCCCCCCCCCCACTCCCATTCATACACCACAAGCTGTCTCCCCCCCCCCCACTCCCAGTGCCATGTGACATTTAATTCATACAACACAAGCTGTCTCCCCCCCCCCCACTCCCATTCATACAACACAAGCTGTCTCCCCCCCCCCCCACTCCCATTCATACAACACAAGCTGTCTCCCCCCCCCCACTCCCAGTGCCCAGTGCCATTCATACAACACAAGCTGTCTCCCCCCCCCCCCCACTCCCAGTGCCATTCATACACCACAAGCTGTCCCCCCCCCACTCACAGTGCCATGTGACATTCATACAACACAAGCTGTCTCCCCCCCCCCCCCCCACTCCCAGTGCCATTCATACAACACAAGCTGTCCCCCCCCCCACTCCCAGTGCCATGTGACATTCATACAACACAAGCTGTCTCCCCCCCCCCCCCCCACTCCCAGTGCCATTCATACAACACAAGCTGTCTCCCCCCCCCCCACTCCCAGTGCCATTCATACAACACAAGCTGTCTCCCCCCCCCACTCCCAGTGCCATTCATACAACACAAGCTGTCTCCCCCCCCCCCCACTCCCAGTGCCATTCATACAACACAAGCTGTCTCCCCCCCCCCCACTCCCAGTGCCATTCATACAACACAAGCTGTCTCCCCCCCCCCCACTCCCAGTGCCATTCATACACCACAAGCTGTCTCCCCCCCCCCCCCCACTCACAGTGCCATGTGACATTCATACAACACAAGCTGTCTCCCCCCCCCCCCCCCACTCCCAGTGCCATTCATACAACACAAGCTGTCTCCCCCCCCCCCCCCCCCACTCCCAGTGCCATTCATACAACACAAGCTGTCTCCCCCCCCCCACTCCCAGTGCCATTCATACACCACAAGCTGTCTCCCCCCCCCCCCACTCCCAGTGCCATGTGACATTCATACAACACAAGCTGTCTCCCCCCCCCCCCCCACTCCCAGTGCCATGTGACATTCATACACCACAAGCTGTCTCCCCCCCACTCCCAGTGCCATGTGACATTCATACACCACAAGCTGTCTCCCCCCCCCCCACTCCCAGTGCCATGTGACATTCATACACCACAAGCTGTCTCCCCCCCCCCCCCCACTCCCAGTGCCATGTGACATTCATACACCACAAGCTGTCTCCCCCCCCCCCACTCCCAGTGCCATGTGACATTCATACACCACAAGCTGTCTCCCCCCCCCCCCCCACTCCCAGTGCCATGTGACATTCATACAACACAAGCTGTCTCCCCCCCCCCCCCACTCCCAGTGCCATTCATACACCACAAGCTGTCTCCCCCCCACTCCCACTCCCAGTGCCATGTGACATTCATACAACACAAGCTGTCTCCCCCCCCCCCCCACTCCCAGTGCCATGTGACATTCATACAACACAAGCTGTCTCCCCCCCCCCCACTCCCAGTGCCATGTGACATTCATACAACACAAGCTGTCTCCCCCCCCCCACTCCCAGTGCCATTCATACACCACAAGCTGTCTCCCCCCCCCCACTCCCAGTGCCATTCATACACCACAAGCTGTCCCCCCCCCCCACTCCCAGTGCCATTCATACAACACAAGCTGTCCCCCCCCCCACTCCCAGTGCCATTCATACAACACAAGCTGTCTCCCCCCCCCCCCCACTCCCATTCATACACCACAAGCTGTCTCCCCCCCCCCCCACTCCCAGTGCCATTCATACACCACAAGCTGTCCCCCCCCCCCCCACTCCCATTCATACAACACAAGCTGTCTCCCCCCCCCCCACTCCCATTCATACAACACAAGCTGTCTCCCCCCCCCCCCACTCCCAGTGCCCAGTGCCATTCATACAACACAAGCTGTCTCCCCCCCCCCCCCACTCCCAGTGCCATTCATACAACACAAGCTGTCCCCCCCCCACTCCCAGTGCCATGTGCCATTCATACAACACAAGCTGTCTCCCCCCCCCCACTCCCAGTGCCATGTGACATTCATACAACACAAGCTGTCTCCCCCCCCCCCCCCACTCCCAGTGCCATTCATACACCACAAGCTGTCCCCCCCCCACTCCCAGTGCCATTCATACAACACAAGCTGTCTCCCCCCCCCCCCCCACTCCCAGTGCCATTCATACAACACAAGCTGTCTCCCCCCCACTCCCAGTGCCATTCATACAACACAAGCTGTCTCCCCCCCCCCCCACTCCCAGTGCCATTCATACACCACAAGCTGTCCCCCCCCCCACTCCCAGTGCCATTCATACAACACAAGCTGTCTCCCCCCCCCCCCACTCCCAGTGCCATTCATACACCACAAGCTGTCTCCCCCCCCCCCCCCCCACTCACAGTGCCATGTGACATTCATACAACACAAGCTGTCTCCCCCCCCCCCCACTCACAGTGCCATGTGACATTCATACACCACAAGCTGTCTCCCCCCCCCCCCACTCCCAGTGCCATTCATACAACACAAGCTGTCTCCCCCCCCCCACTCCCAGTGCCATTCATACAACACAAGCTGTCTCCCCCCCCACTCCCAGTGCCATGTGACATTCATACAACACAAGCTGTCTCCCCCCCCCCCCCCACTCCCAGTGCCATTCATACAACACAAGCTGTCTCCCCCCCCCCCCCCCCCACTCCCAGTGCCATTCATACACCACAAGCTGTCCCCCCCCCACTCCCAGTGCCATTCATACAACACAAGCTGTCTCCCCCCCCCACTCCCAGTGCCATGTGACATTCATACAACACAAGCTGTCTCCCCCCCCCCCCCCCACTCCCAGTGCCATTCATACAACACAAGCTGTCTCCCCCCCCCCCCCCCCCCCACTCCCAGTGCCATTCATACACCACAAGCTGTCCCCCCCCCCACTCCCAGTGCCATTCATACAACACAAGCTGTCTCCCCCCCCCCCCACTCCCAGTGCCATGTGACATTCATACAACACAAGCTGTCTCCCCCCCCCCCCACTCCCAGTGCCATGTGACATTCATACAACACAAGCTGTCCCCCCCCCCACTCCCAGTGCCATTCATACAACACAAGCTGTCTCCCCCCCCCCCACTCCCAGTGCCATGTGACATTCATACAACACAAGCTGTCCCCCCCCCACTCCCAGTGCCATGTGACATTCATACAACACAAGCTGTCTCCCCCCCCACTCCCAGTGCCATTCATACAACACAAGCTGTCCCCCCCCCCCCACTCCCAGTGCCATTCATACACCACAAGCTGTCCCCCCCCCCCCACTCCCAGTGCCATTCATACAACACAAGCTGTCTCC